TGCAGCGTGAAAAACCAACCAACTGTGCAGCTTCCACTGAAAAGATCTACATAAGAAAAGACCTAAGAAGTCCTCTGATAGCAACTCCCACCTTCGTGGCAGACAAGGATGGGGCACGGTGAGTCCTGGCTCAGGGTGAGTCCTGGCTCAGGGTCTTGGTGCCTGTTTGCAGTCACACCTATGTGCTTTTCCCCTCTCCATTCAGAGGGACAGAAATGAGCTCCAATTCACACATCATCTGTTTCTGTTACCAAGACCAATGCAGGTTTTTCTGTCTGTGCAGGTGTGTGGTGTTTAGTGCAGAGCTGGCTCTGTCCAGCCAGGCCAGAGCACAGGCAGGGCAAGTAAACCATCCTCAAGCAGAATCATAGAGTCAACCAGATTGAAAAAGACCTCTAAGATCATCCAGTCCAACCCTACTGTGGTCACTAGCCCATGGCACTAAGTGCCACATCCAGTCTCAGCTTGAAAACCTCCAGAGATGGTGAATCCAACCACCTCCCTGGGCAGCACATTCCAATGCCTGAGCACTCTCTCTGTAAAAAATCTCTTCCTAAGATCCAACCTAACCCTCCCCTGCCAGAGCTTGAGTCTGTGCCATCTTGTCCTGCTGCTGGTTGCCTGGGAGAAGAGACCAACCCCCACCTGACTCCAACCTCCTGTCAGGGAGTTGCAGAGGGTGATAAGGTCTCCCCTGAGCCTCCCCTTCTCCAGGCTGAACACCCCCAGCTCCCTCAGCCTCTCCTCATGGAGTGTGTGTAGGCTCACAGTGTGATGCATTTGGGCTAGCACTTCTCTGGAGTCACATCTGCACACTGCAGGCTCAGGCTGCCTTCTCCTAAGGACAGCAGTGAGGCAGACTGCAGTGGCTGTGATTCAGGTCCCAGGAGACAGGTTTCAACAACAGCAACACAACAGCAGCTTCCTCTTACTATGTGGAAGATCCTGGAGGTGTTTCCCACGCACCCACATGTCTCTGTAGCAGTGGGTGTGGAGCTGCACCTCATTGCAAACAGTGGCAAAATTTGTCTGTTTCTGAATAAGTGAAACAGAACTCTAGGTTAAACATGGCATTGTAAAAACTGTAGTTTATGAATGGTTAAGAACCACCTAAAAATGGGTCTTACTGTTCAGTTTTCACATAGATATATTTAGTTTTATGTATATATATAATATATATATATTCTTTAATGAACAAATGACACTGAGCAAATGTCACTCTGGTTAGGAAGGGTGGGCTGCAGATTGCCTGGAGAATTGTTTTTCAGTGTTCTCATTTTCAAGTCAGATTGTTCAAAGGACACATTATCTTCCTTGAGGTGTCTGTGTGCTTCAGATCCATTACAGACCTGTAAGCAACGTTTCAGTCATTAAGTGTGACTGTTACTTAGGTAGGATCCAGATTGGCATAATGCATGAACATTTGCTGCCTGTGCTCTTGACAGTGTTAGCCTCAGAGTCTTTGAACTGTATTTTCCTGCAGCCTGAACCTGTGTTGTGTGTATTGTGTTATGGTGACTTGGAGTCATGTAAGTAACAGGTAAACTTCTTGCAGACTGCAAAGACTTTCCACTGTCTCCCTCCTTTAGACACACAAAGGGAAAGGATGTTTATTCAAAAAGAGGCATAAGTAAAGACAACAGAGATTTTGTGCAGGCCTTGATTACATGACTGTTTCTGTCTTTGGAGTGTAAAGTGTATTTTATGACTCTTCAGTGTTGTCCATTGCCTGACTTAGAATACACAGTTAGGCTTTCCTCCAAAGTCTAATGTGTAACTCTAGAGCTGCTAGGTGACTGCTGGGAACATGAGAACACAGCAACTCTCCTTGAAGCAGAATAAACCAGAGTAAAAAGCAAATGAGGTGATAAGTATTTGGGAAGTTGTCACTGCTTTTGTACAGGAATGGAAAAGATATCCCAGTTCTTCTGTCTTTCAAGCTAAGTTTTGGAAACTGTTTCAGAAAGACTTAACTCCTGATGAATAACCTGTGAGCTTCATGAAAGTGTTACTTTCAAACCTGGTAACCCCTTCTAGTCTGTCCTAGGTTGTTGCACATTCTCCTGGTTGCTGTGAAATGCTATTGACCATTGGATGCCTTATGCTTTTGAACAGGTCAGCAGGTCTTCTTGATCCAGGAATGCTTGTGAATATTCAGCAGCCTTTGATCAGGGATGATGGAACAGTCCTCCTCACTGCTGACTCCAAGGTATTACTCTTTCAGTTCAGTTCTCAGCATATATATTAGTTTGTTCAAATTATTTTAGCTACTGTACCTAGATTCAAATAGTTGTTGTCCATGAGAAGGTAAGGTTGGGGTGAGTCTGAAGAGCTGTGTGAACAGAGGTAGGAAACTGCTCAACAGGAACAAGGTGTCTTTTCACGAACATGTTTCTGCAAAAGGTCAGCCACAGGTAGTTAGTTCCTTATGTGATGCTTCAGCTGGGAGTAGGATTGATGATTACAACAGGATTTAAATGTCATTGAGAGCCATTTTCTTCCTGTAGGCATTCAAGAGGAAGGGAAAGGTACATGAGGGAAAAGGAATACAGAGATTAAAAATGGGAAAAATTTCTATGTGATATATCGACTATCATTTTGATCTACTAATACAGTTCTTCCTTTCTAGGCTGAAACAAGCCAAGGTGCTTTAGGAACACTAGCAAATGTTGTAACATCTCTTGCTAATCTCAGTGAGTCACTAAATAATGGAGATACTTCTGAAGTTCAGCAAGAAGAGCAATCTGCAAGTGAGATCACACGGTATGTATTTGTATTTTCATCTGATTTAGCCATTTGTGTTCTGTTTGGTGTATCCTTACACTCCCTCATTGAAGCAAGTTGGCATTGTGGCACCAGCGCAGCACAAGACCCTTTCACTAGTGCAAGTAGTAGGATAAAACTACCAGAGCAAGATTTACAGTAGTAAAAAGTTCCCCCCTTACAGGGCAGATCTTTCATCAGCAATATATGGGCAGATCTATTCCTTTTATTAATGTCTAAGGAGTCCAAAGGTGCCTGACTGTAATGAAATGTCTCACCCTGTCTCCTAGCATAAGCAGTTCTGTGTGTTAGCTCTAAGTGGAGATGCTTTATAGCCTTTAGTTTGAGCACTGCTTTGAATTTTTTCAAGGTGTAAGGAAGCATTCTGAGATTGCTTTGTTTTTCGTGGTGTTTTATAGGGCATTTGATACTTTGGCTAAAGCACTAAATACCACAGATGGTACAGCAGCTCCTAACTTGGCAGATGGGATGGATGCTGCAGGAGGAGGGAATATTCATGTGATCAGCAGAGATCAGGCCACACCAATTATTGAAGTGGAAGGACCCCTACTTACAGATACACATGTCACATTTAAGGTATGTTCTTCTCTAAATGTCTGACTAAACAAAGATGGATGTGCTCTCTCCCACAGTCTCTTGTCTTCTGTTCCCAATTTGCAGTCCTTGCCAAGAGTAATTTTTCCTTTGACAATTCCTTTGCACACAGTTGCTCGTGACAGGCTATGAAAGTAGTTTGAATGTTTCTGCTGGTTATTTCATTGATGATCAAAGGTGGTTTATGTCTGAACTGTGTATTTTGTCCTGTGCTTTTGTTTTGGGCAGCTGACAATGCCCAGTCCCATGCCAGAGTACCTGAACGTACACTACATCTGTGAGTCAGCATCACGGCTCTTGTTCCTATCCATGCACTGGGCCAGGTCCATACCTGCATTTCAAGCCCTTGGGTGAGTGCACATACTTTCAGTGGTTTGCTTTGGAATGGATTTGAGCATTGCTCTGAACACTTCTTGAATTTGTTACTTACGCAGTTGTTTAATGAATTTATTAAGTGTGTGAAGACTATGAAATGTTTTCTGTTTTGAAGAATAAACCAGAAGGTGGCAGAGAGGAGGATCACTGCAATGTCTGATGTTGCTGTGGTTACAGAGGCTAAAGCCAAATCAAAAGCAAGAATTACTTGAGGGGCTTCAAGGAGATAGAGAGGGACTCTTTGTTAGGAGCTGCAATGACAGGACAAGGGGTAATGGGTTCAAATTGAAGGAGGGGTAGTCTGGGTTGGACATGAGGAAGACATTTTTTACTCTAAGGGTGGTGAGCCACTGGCACAGGTTGCCCAGGGAGGCTGTGGCTGCCCCAACCCTGGCAGTGTTCAATCCAGGCTGGATGAGCCTTGAGCAACCTGGTCTAGTGAGGAGGTGTCTCTGCCCAGGGCAGGGGTTGGGACTAGATCATCTGTAAGGTCCATTCCAACCCCAAATTCTATGATTCTATTAATTTGTAGCAATCAAATGCTTTTGGTACCTGCTAGAGAACTGATGAGCTCCACTTCAGGCTGACCTGAAATGCTTTCCCCTAGTCCATCTACAATTCCCTTTTGCTTTTTGAAGTACTTGTCATACACCAGTATGTGCCTTTGAGTAAACTGTTTTGCAATACATTCACCCTTATTATTGGTTGTTAAAATAACCTAATTGCACATGGGGTGATGCCAAGCTGATATGCCCAGAGTTGTTTGACTTTGTGCTGTTCACAGGCAGGACTGTAACACGAGCCTTGTCCGAGCCTGCTGGAATGAGCTGTTCACCCTGGGCCTGGCACAGTGTGCACAGGTGATGAGTCTGTCCACTATCCTAGCAGCTATTGTCAACCACCTCCAGAACAGCATACAGGAAGGTATGTTTTCAGTCCTCCCTACCAACACTGCAGGGACATTTGTCTCATTTCTCAGGAGGTGTTTCCTGACGGTGGCAGAGCTGTGCACTGCGATCCAGGGGGAGGATTTGTTAATATATCAGAATTGCTTGAGGTGACATGAAAGAATAACCAATACCTTTTTGTAGATAAACTCTCTGGAGACAGGATAAAGCAAGTTATGGAGCACATCTGGAAACTTCAGGAGTTCTGTAACAGCATGGCCAAGCTCGACATCGATGGATATGAATACGCATACCTTAAAGCTATTGTCCTTTTTAGCCCTGGTAAGGAATTTACTAACCATATCTTTTTTGATAATAAGTGTAACATGTTAATGTTTTAGCATTTTTTAGAGTTGTATCAGTATCTTGAGATAAGACTCACCTGTGAAGGTGCAGATAAATGATTTTTATGATGATTATCACAAACAATGTGTGTTATAAAGTCACTTTGGAGCAGCAGCCCCAATATATCAGGTGCTTCCTGTACATCCACCTTAGAAGTTTAGACTCTCAGATTACCTTCAGCTGAGAATCCATGAGTAATAAGTTATCTGGGATGTGTCCTAACACTATTAGTGAGGTAGGAAGGATTACAGAAAATACATTGTCACAGTGACAGAAAGAAATTGACTTCAATTTTAGTATTTTTAATAAGAGGAATAGCTGAAATATGAGCAGAAATATCTCTCTGGTTTATATGGAGCTTCCACAAAAGCTCCAGCACTGCATGTCAACAAGCATTCCATTTGTTACCAACAAATGACAGCAGGCAGCTAAAGCATAGTCAGGTGTTTATGAGACATGAGGATTTGCTCAGAGAAGACACTTGAGATTTTCTGGAATGATCAGTGAGGGCAGAAAAGAAATTGGAAGTGACAGTCATTTCAGTAAAGGTGACAAAAATGCTTCTAGGACACTCAGAGGTTAATTTAAAACTGCTGACAGGCTAAGCAAAAGGGAAACTTTTGCTCAGAAGAGTGTATTTATTTTAATTTAAAGGTATTTATCACTCTGAATTTAACAAAGCACAAAGAAAAGGAGTATCTCATTATCAGTGTGTTTGGGGTGGGGTTTTTTTTGCACTGATATTGTTTTTCTTTTTGTAACAAAACTTAATTAGAAGATATTGGTGTCCTGAAATTTTCTTCTAAAATTGTTATGCCAATTGTACCGTTAAGGTTAGGTTTATTAGGGTTTTTATTCAAGTTGGAGCAGCAAGAAACTCTCCAAAGTCAATGTAGCCCTGCCCTGTTTCAGGGGACAAGCAGTGAAGGTGTTTGGGCACAGGGAGAGAGGTGGTGTTTTCTGGGGTGTTTTTTCTCTCTGCTGATGTGACTGTGTAAGGGGTTGAGCCAGCTGGAATTCAAACACGAGACAGTATTGGGGAGGTTAAGAAATTGAGCTGTGAAGAAAACAACCCTAGATACTGCTCAGTCAGCCTAGTTAGAAGGACTCTCAGAGGCAAACACATGTCAAATGGTGAGAAACAAACTCTGTGGCACTGCCTGGCACACAGCTCCAGGCTTACCTTTGTCCACTCCTGGGGGCACACACAGCTATAGAGAGGAAGGTGAACAAGCTAATTTTGAAGCCATGAAGCAAATATTCCAGTGAGTGCTTTGCTTTATACAGCTAACGTGTTGAACATGACAGTGCCAGAGAAATCATGCGATGAAATGAAATGTGAAACTCTGATAAATACATTTCTTCCACAATGTCTAGGGAAACAATCGACATACAGAAATGTTTTGTTTCTTTAGATCACCCTGGTCTGACCAGTTCAACCCAAATAGAAAAATTCCAGGAGAAGGCACAGATGGAATTGCAGGACTATGTACAAAAAACCTATCCAGAAGATTCTTATAGGTATTTATTGTCTATAGTACCCAAAGTAATGTCGTGGGCTACAGCCAGCAAAAGTTCCAAGTAACATCACTGGTGTTTAAGTTTCCTTCTTGACATCTGGGTGTTTTGCACTGTTGGTGAGAAAGAACTGGAACCTTGTTTGTAAAGCAAGTGGGTTTGTTTAAAGATGTGTAGAAGCAAGAACAGCTGTGTGGCTTCTTCCGTGTGAATTAAACTCACGAGTCCTTTCCTGGTGTTTGAGGGTTTTTTGAGTCTCATTGTCATGTTTAGAAAAGCAAACAGCCTGGAGAGTAACTGCCTCAGCTGGTCACACTGCTGTACTGCACTCTGCCTTTGGCCAAGGTATGGTCACAAAGCTTCTTTGGCAGCTAAAAGGTGATTAGCATCCTCTAAATGATTTCCAAGTTACACATGCAGAAAAGTGTTAGAACTGTCAGTGTATAGACCTTGGAAAAATAAGGATTACATAGAACAGTAACCAAGTGTTAACCCTCTGTTTATAAGAGATTCCCCATCCTACTTATTTTCTCCTTTGGCCTTTGTTTTTCAATTTCCAAATGCTTCTCTTTGAAATTATCTAACTTGTTGTTTTCACCTCTCAACTGTTCCTGTTTCTTACTTGCTAGAAATGATCATCCTATTTTCTAACCATCTCCATCAAAACTGTTTCAAAATTCATCCACACTCTGCACTACCAGGGAAATTCTAACTCCAGTCTAGCAATATATCCTAGAACATACTCCTTTCTCCTGTGAAAGCTATGCCCATGTAAAGAGCAGTCCTGTACATTTCAGCAAGGTGTGAGGGTGGTGTAGCTGAAGAGAAAAGCTGTCTGTAAGGAAGAGCTTCTCCCATCTCTGGTTTCTGCACTGAGCTTACAGAGCTCAGTGAAGAATGGGATTCACTACCTCAGAAATAGCCTCAAATCCCACATTCTCCTGTGCCCCATCCAGTCATTCTGGTTTGACTGGTGAGAGCTGGATATCTGCCACAGAGTAAATACAAAACTTGTTCCATGTGCATACTTCTCTGAGTAGGGGCTTAGGCAAGAAATCATCACATTCCCCAAGCAGTGTCCTGTGTTAGCTGGTGGTGTCTGTATCTCCATGTTCACCCACAGACAGGGTTAGAGAACAAACCTGATGATTCCCGAGCAGCTGAAAGCTGGCACAAGTTAAGATAGAAGACAAGTGTTATAATTTCCAAAAAAAACCCAGCATAGCTTAAATCTTTTTGCAATTTCGCCCTAAGGTTTGCAAGATATGGTACAATAACAGAAGGGACCTTCTATATTTTCTCCACAGACAATTTTCCAGAGGCATGTGTCAGTGCTACCTAAGGTTTGCTCTGATAGGGCTCTGGTTCAGAACATTTGTTTGGTTTGGCATTTGTGATGTACACTGACCATGTCCCTGACAGCAAAATGCTTTCAGCACTGCCCTGAGCTTCACATGCATTCAAAGTCAAGCGATTCAGTCGAATCACTTTGTTATATTGGGTATCTGTTAACATTCTGGTAAATAAACCCTACAGCATTTGGCAGTGTATATGTGTACCAGCACATCCCCCAGATCCCTCTTCTCATCAGCAGCAGATTCTCTTTTTCCCTTTCATATATATCCAGTCCCATTCTTGTTGTCTGGTTGGACATGAAGTTGCTAAGCAACTGAGGACTGTGCTGTTTATGCCTGAGATTTTCATTAAGCATTTTACTCTTGTGCAAATGTTCACACTAGTCAGTATGAATATTATTAGTCCTAGCATTGTCCTTCCAGAGTTGGGAGGCTCAAGAGCTGTGTGTTTGTCCACACACGTTGTGTCTGCAAAGGGCATTTCCCTTCCACTGGGAAACCACAGAGCAGGTCGGTGGCTTTTCCCTTCCCTGGCAGAACAGAAAGATAACCATTCTTTTTATGGGAGCCAATTAGCTTAGATTGCCTCTTGACTCCCATTCAAGAGTTGTGGTAATAATAAAAGCAGATCTAGCTCTTTAGCCACGAAGTGTCTTAGACTGATGTTCTATGTGTGTCTAACCCAGTGTGCTTCTCTTGCAGGCTGGCCCGGATCCTGGTTCGCCTGCCAGCACTCAGGCTGATGAGCTCCAGCATTACTGAGGAACTGTTTTTCACTGGGCTCATTGGAAATGTTCCCATTGACAGCATAATCCCCTACATCCTCAAAATGGAAACAGCAGAATATAATGGTCAGATAACTGGCAGCTCTGCATAGCGGGGACAGCACGGTTGGATGGATGGAGCAGTCTGAGTAAAACACACAGTTATATGGAGTTAAGAGAGTAGCATTTGGGTATGTGCAAAGAATTCCAGCTTGTTACCAGTTTCCTGACAGATTTCTCCTTGTCTGTTTGCTGACACTGACAAAATTTAAGCAGCTATTAAAAGACCTGCTATAGGATCTTTTCTGCCACAAGGAATATTTTGGATGCCTTTCATTTCAAAGGCTATAGGTTACTGAACATACTTTTCACATGCTTTGTATTTAGAAACTACCAGTGGATAAAAAATAGAGTTTTATAATACCAGAGATTAGTAATAAAATTACTTTAAAAGTAAAAAGAACAGTATGTATATATTTAAAAAATATCCTTGGAATTAATGTCTAATAAATGCCAGGGTATAATTCTAGCACTTTGTAATCACTTCTTGTCAGAGCGACAGCATCATCGACATCCTGCTTGTGGGTATGGAGAAAGGAAAGGTGCCCCTGTCCTTAGAGTGCTGGTGACTTTTGTGACAGTGCAGAATGTTACAGGAGACAATCATTTAGTCCACAAAAAGTCACTTGCTCTTATGTTATGCATGAGATATTACTGTGGGTTCTCAGATCAGACATCGGCATGGTGTGAAACTGTACTGTGTTAACTTGGTGCAGTTGGAATTCACAGTGCAATGCAGTCATAGGGACTATTATTGTGCTGCAGGAATTACCCACACTAGGAGAAAAAGTGTTTCTTGGCACAGTAATGATAATATTCAGGCTCCTTGAAGTGTCTATTCAGGCCAACACAATCAGGAGAAATGTTACTCCGAGGGTTGTGGGGAAAATCAGTCATTAACTGGAAGAACAGTAATTTTCAAGGAGAGCTATGTGATGCTCTTTTGTGTTTCCAAATTTACTCCTCCTCTCTATGCTCCTGAACACCCTCATCATCCAGCCACGGGTGCAGTGTAAAACCTGAGGTGTGTAGAAGTTCTGGCTGGCAGCAGAGGATGGTACAAAGATCTCTCACTTGATTTCTCCCCACCTCCCTCTCCTCTCCTCAGTGAGCACTCCCAGTTTTGCAGTGCTCTTGACCTTCCTGTGACTCAGTTTGAAACCAAAATATAGTTAGGATTTACTCTCAATCATGCCCAACTGCAGTTAATGACTGATACACCATGGAGTTACAAAATTAACTGCTTTTTAATTGTCTTGAGCGATGAGCCATCAACATGTTCTCTGGTGTTGGCCATTAGCTGTTAGCACAGCTTTCACTTGAGTGTAATTTATTATTGTGGACATCAAGTGTTTTAAGCAATCAGTTTCTAAACAGATGCCATAGCAATTAATGCCTCTGTCTGCTCCTGGTTCGTTAGATGCATCAAGTGTTTGTGTGAGAGAGACATTTTTACTTTTGTAGTTTTATGTGACAAAAATCTAAAAGTTCAGCACTTTTGTTTTTCTTTTGTTACTGACATTTATTTATGAACATCACCCAGGCTGATGTCTGTGTCTGTTTTCAGAGTCTGAGTTGTAGCCAGAAGACCTCAAGCAGCTCTGGATGAGGTTTGAAGTCATACAAGGTCCTGCCTTGGTATACTTCAGGCTCATTGGGAGGCTCAGATTTGTAGCACTCACTGTGACCCAAAATGCTATTTAATTTTAGCTTCTGGATGCATTGAAGTCTTCTACAGTTACCATTGTTAGCACGTTCAGAATCCTCTTTTCTCCAAAAGCTGTTAGAAAGAGTCCAATGTCCATGCAGAGGTTTGTGATGTGGCACTTTTATTTCTCTTGGCTTTGGCTGTAGCGAATGCAACTGTTGTGTTGTTGGTGTGATGGAAGGTCCTGGCAGAGTTGTGTGCCAGCCCTTGGACTGACTGCAGGGTAAATGCTGGAGGCAGTGTCACCCCTGCCCCTGCACAGTCCCTGTGTCAAGGGGATGCAGCTCAGGAGTGAGCAGTGACATTAACAGCAGGAGCTCCCTTGGGAACAGCCATGGCCTCTTCTGTTACAGTCTGAAACTCTATTGGGTTATGTCCTTGTTGGTCTAAAAGCAGAATGGGCTGAACTGTTGTGATACTTTAATGGCAAAAAAGATTATGGAGTTGACTTTCAGTGTTTCATAAAAACCATTTAAGTGGATAAGTAATCATTGTTAATGGCAGCAAGCTATTCCCTAGCACAAAGAGCTACTGGAGTGTTTTTTCCAAGTCTGAGTACACACCAAGTGGGTTTTTCTTGACAAACATCATTTCAACTTTGATTTTCCAAGTAAAAGGGCCCCATTTCTCTGTGAAAATTTGTTTCCTAGTTTTTATTCCTTGTGCTGTGATCATAACAATTATTGAAAAACTGTCTTGGTTTGTAGTATAGAAATAGCTTGTTTTCACGAAGGCCAAATTTCAATGCCAAACTCGTGTTTACAGAGCTGGGAGTCAAAGGATCACAGTCACAAAGTGATTTAAGGAAAGTCCTTCTCACTGAAGCTCTGCTTAGTGCCTAAAGTTCCCTCTCCAGAATTTTCAAGGTCCTGTTTCTACTGCTCTTGAAGTGACAGTATTTTAACTTGGTAGAAATAAAATGATAACTGTCTGATTAGATTGCTCTGAACTCGAGCATATGTGTGTATCAGTGACAGTTTGTTCAGACAGAGGTTGGAGTTCTGTGCTGACTGAAGCTGTGCCATGCAGGGAATGGGAATGAGACAATGATGTCCCTTGTCCCTGGGCTTCAGTTGTGCTTAGACTCTTTGGAGAAAGAGCTTCACGGATAAAAAGAGCAGTGATCAGTAAGTGTAGGAGCATTTTGGGCTAGCTCTGTGATAGTGACAAGGGCAGGAAGGTATACTGCTTTTCTTCCCTTGGTTCACTCACGTTGGACTAGAGAGACAGAACCAAGACCATGGTCAAAAGTCATCTCTCTCTGCCTACTTAACATTGCTTGTAAACGAGCTGCAGTGCTTTGAGTGTTAGTGGAGTTACTTTGGCATGAAACTGGTAGAAGAGGGAAAAATACCTCCAAGGAGAGATCTTTCGAAGAGATCATACAAGCCTTTATTTTAGCTGCCTTAAAATGTTAGATTCCTAAGGAGGCTTAGTTTTCAGACCACTCTGGGGCAAGAAACTATTGTTGGTCTGCACTGGTGACTTGGTGTCATTTACCAAGTCTCCTTTTACCACCTTCTGAAGCCCTTGGCAGCCCCAGTGCCTCTGGTGCAGAGCTCTGGCTGCAGGTCTGCAGGTTCCAGCTGGCTCTGCAGTGCCATTACAGTCTCCTTTGGCACAGGGCACGTTCTGAGGCTGCGGCAGAGACACCGAGCCAGGGCTGAAGCTTCCAGGCAAAATCAGTTTCTTGACTGTTTCTCCTTTGGCGGAGACTGTGAAACACTTCAGTGGGGTTTTTTATTGTGTATAGTACACAGGACTCACAGATTCTTGAATTATTTCATCCAGGTTAGTGCAGGTGTCAGTAAATTTTCCTGCCTGTTAAGGTTAAGACAGCAGTTAGGATTCTTCGCTGATTACCTGCGGGTTCATTAGTAAGAGATAATTCTTTAAAAAGCACCCAGTAGCAAAAGTATCCAGGAATACAGCTTAGCCAGGGAGGCAGGACTGGAAATTACTGGGCTGAGGATGCTGTCCAAGCAGGGCCAAAGCAGCTTTCTGCACCAGCAGCACCAGTCAGGGCCCTGTTGGAGCTGGGCAGGTCAGTCAGACACACACAAATGTACCAGCAGATACCTCCTGGATGATAACAGTCTGAAAAAAAAAGAAAGATGTTGATTTTCTATTTGAAATTCCTCTCCTGCCCTCCAGTTACTCTTTAGAGTGCAAAACCAGCTTATGTTGGGGTTTTTTTCACCTACACTTGTCCATAAGAGAAGCAGCAGAAATGTCAGCAAACACAGCTGGGTTCCCATCTGTCCCAGGGGTTTGCCACAGAGCAACAGAGCAGTGGTTGGCTCTGGTGGTAAGCATGGGCCAACTGTGAGAGCAGCACACACAGCTGTGAGCAGCACACACAGCTGGGAAAGCAGCACAGAACAGCTGGGAGAGCAGGGCACACAGCTGGGAGAGCAGCACACACAACTGGGAGAGCAGCACACAGCTGAGAGCTGCACACAGCTGGGAGAGCTGCACACACAGCTGAGAGCTGCACACACAGCTGTGAGAGCAGCACACAGCTGTGAGCAGCACAGAACAGCTGGGAGAGCAGTGCACACAGCTGGGAGAGCAGCACACACAGCTGAGAGCAGTGCACACAGCTGGGAGAGCAGTGCACACAGCTGGGAGAGCTGCACACACAGCTGGGAGCAGCACACACAGCTGAGAGAGCTGCACACACAGCTGCAGCCCTAGTGCCTCCACACGTCCAGGGGAATCAGCCAAATGAGCTCACCCTGGAGAGCAGAGTGAGGGGCAGAGGGGGGACAAGTTCCCAACATCTTTCTGCATCTTGGATGACAGAAAATTGCTTTTAAAAGCAGCTTTCTATGAAAAGTTACCAAGAGGGCATGGCAGAGGGGAGAAAATGAGAACACTTATTTTTTGCACCTTGTAATTCTAAAGTTGCCGAGTTGTTTTAACAGTAAATACTCCTGAACTGAGTTCAGGCTTCTTGTTTGATGACAAATGCCATTAACCCCTCATTAGATAGTGCTACCACCCTACATCAGCTGCAGTCAGTGTTATATGGGAAACCATCTGTGCAAAAAAGATCAGAACATTGTTTATACTGAGGTTGCAAGTTTAGATGCTCTAAGTCTAAATATATTAGACTTGGAACACATCAAGGCCCAGCATTACCTTATGGCTGAGCTTTTTGTTGTGTAGTCATGCTAAGTCAATGCTCTGAGTTCACAGATGCTTTGAAAATGGCTCATTATGGATACACTCATGCCTGTCTTCCTTCTTTCCCAAGGGTCTGGTAGAGCTGTACACATCTTTATGTTGTGCCTCCACCATTGTGCATTCTGCAACTTCAGTTCCAAAACTCACTCGAGCAGCTGATGCATATGTACATAGCTGTATGTATG